CTAAATCTGAGAAATCGACCTATTCTTTGGTATAATCTAAGTCCGTAGAGTAAGCAGATACATAAATAAAGCTAACATCTTTCGTTCTGGGAAAACAGAGCAAAACCCTAAGAACCATAACAAAGCAGCAAAAGCAGGAAAGTAAAATCAATACAGTAACCTAAATGCAAGTTAACAAACGCAAATAACTAGAGATTTTAGTGTTGTTTCATATGGCTAAGAGAATTTTTCCAACAACATGAAAATGAGACTGTCTGTTCAAGAATCTATAAGAATCAAGAAATAAAATGTTCTTACCAACGAAGTTGAGCTGAAGTGGGAGACGAAAACAAGGAAAAACCTTGGTTTCCTTGTTAGAAAACCAGTTTCAGCCATTGTACACAGAGAGTGAGAAATTGTGAAGAAGAGTTAACCAAAGATTTTGAGAGAGAGAGAGTCAAAAAAGCAAGTTAAAGGGTCTCTGAATTTTTCTTGAAAAGACAGAGTACGATCCTTTGTTATTTCATTTTCTTTCTGACATTTACGCAAAGGATTTGATTATTTTTTTTTTTTCTTTCATGATTTGATCTCTCTCCGGTTTGGTTTTCAATCGGTAACCGGAGTTGAAAAGACTCTTTTAATATCCTTTCCAAATCCGACTAACCGGACAAACCAGTAATAAATAAATCATGGTTAAAAGGTACAAAAGAATTGATGAATGTGATTGGTTGGAAACATATGAACTGAAAAGATACTTTTTTGTGTTTTGTCTTGGAGTGGTCAAAGCAATAAATTCATCATTTGTACACTACTAATCCAAAAGCTGTTTTCCAAAGTTAAAAAACAAAAACAATAGGGTCAAATTCAATGTAATTTTACTTTAGATAATGGCTTAATTGATGATATAAAAGAGATTATAAACTTAATTTTTAATTATGCGATGCAAAGCAAGAACAAAAGAATGATTTGCTATGTAGAAAAGCTAAATTAATGGAGATATGCATAAATTGTTAACACTTAACAAATAGTGGAATCATGCCTAAATAATTTGCCTAATCTTATCAGGTGGAAGTGGTGTATAGTCTTCTGATCTATATATGCATTTAAATTCGTTATTAAGAGGATTTTTATGGATATATTAAGTGTTGTGGCCTTTTGGGACAAGGACACATATGCTCCACAATATGGTACATTTTTTTTTTTTTGAAAAAGAAGATCGAAATTATACAAACTCCAGGGTACATTTATTTATAGATTATTTCATTTTAAAAAGTGGTATTTTAGGCAGTAAAGCTATGTGAAATGAGCTATGGAGGAGAATTAAGTACCTTTCGGTTTACGTGCCTAATATTCCAATGTATCTAGAACCTCAAATACGTTTTACAAAGAATGTTCTAATTCAATGTATTAGAGTACATGTAGTGTAAAACTCAAGAAACAAAAAACGATGGATTTTTTTTTTTTTTTTGCAAAATATAACAAGAGAAAAATAAAGATATGCTTGAACATCAAAAAGAGAATAATGGAGATCTTTTTAAAAAAAATTGTATTAGTGATCAATATATATCAAAAATAGTAAAGTACCACCTTCTTCGAAGAAAAGATATACCATAGTACATAAATCATAAGACAAATTCATAGAAACTTCCTCTAGTAACAACTAACAACCACGTGTGAAGCACCCAACCACATATCACAAAATGACCAATCTTTTTTTCATATCTGTATATAAGTATGCATTTACAAGATCAATCCTTGCAAACCCATAAACAAATTCCTCAAGAGTCGTTGACAAAATCAAAAAAAAAAATTCTTAAAAGTCAAAACTTGCTCTTGACCCTCCAATCTTCCTTCAAAATCTCCTTAAAAATCTCAATCCTTATTTGCCAACCAAAATCTACAAACACACATTATCCTTCGACTTTCTTATTCATAGCTATCACAACCCCTAAAAAAATTCCCCCTAG